TATATCCCGCGGCAGCTCTTCTCTTCTCTTCTATGAGTTATTGGTACGATTGATTTTCTTTGATTGTATTTGTTATTCTTGTAGCAGCGGCCTCTACGTCGTCCGCTGAGTTAATCGGCGTAACCACTGGAGGTCTCTCCTGCAGGTGTTGGTGGTAGAGCCTCCAGTTTATCTTGGTTTTAAAAGCTCTGGGCGGCGTAGTCACCGCCTTGAGGCCAAGGGTGATCAAGATCGGGACGTGCTGAGACATCAGGTCGTACAGCACCTCTACCACTACCGGGTAGTTGACGTTCCTAGAGAGCACGATGTCCAATACATCCGGACGTTTTCTGTGATCTGTAGGTACGTGAGTTGGTTCTTCGGGACCTAAAACGTCATAATTGTTGTTTTCCGCATCTTCGTAGAGTTCACGACCCGGCGGGTTGATCACTCTGGACCCCCACGCCGGGTGTTTTGCGTTTAGGTCCCCTGCAACTATGGTTGGTATTGTGCCTTCCATTACTGTCCGGATGTTAGAGGAGCGAAGTGGAATCCCTGGCGGGCGGTATGCTGCGTAAATCCTAAGTTCCTCGCCCGCCGCCTCCATTTTTATACCGATAGAGCGCATCGATTGGTGATCTGGCAGGTCTAGCTCTTGATGGACAATGTCTCTCCTCACTAGAACCGCCGTGCCTCTATAGGCGGTCCCTTGAGGATTGACCTCGTCCCGCCTGTAGATGTGGTAATTGGGCAGCCTTAGATGCGTGGATGGATTCTACTTGGTCTCTCCCAGCAAGATCACCTGGATATTCCGTTGTTGGGCGACCGTGCGGAGTTCATGGATCTTGTGCTGGATTCCGTCCGGATTCCAGTAGAGTAGGCGCAGGTTACTCGCCTCTGTAATGCCGAGCCAGTAGCTGCGCCAATGCTTTCATTATAGCTGTTATAGGGTCGGTCCCGGCCCGGATGTCGGCCAGGACCTGTGTGCCGACTTCTATGGCTATGCCAACCAATCTGTGAATGGCGTCGGCACTTTCCGTGTTCGCTGTTGGTGTTCTAAATGTTTTAAATGGCTCTGGTCTCGGCTGGGCTTGTGTTTCTCTTCTCAAGGTAGAGCGCGCTCTAGTTGTAGAGCGGGCTCTTTGCTCCGGTAGAGCTCTTTCTTGCGCTCTACCTGTGGTAGTCCTTGCTTCCTTGGCGGTAACCTGCACCTGTGAGGCTATTGTAACCGCTGGGGTTGGGGTAGAGGTAATTGCCTGAGGAGGAGGCAGCGTTTTACTCTTCTTCAGCCTCACCCGCTTCCTTTTCTTCGAGGGTTGACGCTCGATAGCATCGTTGGCGAGGGGGGGGGGGGGGGAGGCGGAGAGTCGCCCCGGTGGTTGCCCTAGTCTGTGCGGGTTCCACCGTTTCTATAGGTTCTTGTTGGGTTTGTGGTGCGGGTGGGGGGGGGGGGGGGGTTGCTGCTTGCCTCCCTTTTGGTCTTTCCGAAATGATGATGAATTTCTCTAATCATTATTTTAGCAATTTCGTATTTACCGTCTCAGACGACAGGTTTTCTACTTTCCTCTGTCAAATTAGACTTAAAAGGTAAACGTCCGTTTAAACGAAGGGGGTTATCTTCTCCTAGTTCTAAAGATAATTTGCTTAAGCGTGAACTTCTTTCAACGTTTTTGCCCATTTTTAAGCAGTTTATTACCGAGTGGAAACACTCGTTTTGAATGAACTTCCAGAATAATAATTCAGCCCTATTTAAAAGTGCTATTTCCAACGCATTGTCGGGTCCTTTAACCGACTTTGCTAAAAATTCGTCGGAACACATAACCGACTTTTCCGGCGGATTGTCGGGTCCTTTAATCGACTTTCCCAATCTTTTAAATTTTTCTACCGCTTGTAAGGTACGCGCAGTTGACCCAAGGAATCTTCTAAAGCTGCTAAATCGTCCTTAGTCGGGTAGAATTAACGGTTCTTCCTTTCTTAACGTATTTACGCTTTTCGGTGACTTTTCTTCACCCGTTTCTAGCTAATCTTTCTTTTATGTCCACTTGCGTGGTCTCAGAACTTAGCCTGAGGAATTCAGGTCCTTGAAACCAGTGGTGACTCTTATCGAAGGTGGAAGGAAAACTTCTAGTTGTGTCGTCTGCCACGTTTTGTGATGACGGTACCCATCGCCATTCACATGACCTACTGTGATCTTCGATCTCAGCCAGTCGATGAGCAACAAATGGTTTGAAAGTACGAGGATCTGACTTAATCTACGCTAACACTGTACGTGAGTCCGTCCAGAATACTCGTTTGGATATTTTATATCTGCTTTCTTCCTTGACCGATGCAGCTAGTCGGCTGCCCATAAGAGCTGCTTATAATTCAAGCCTGGGAATGGAAATCGGCTTCAACGGCGCTTTAGCGGCCATTAGTGTAATTCGGCTCTCTTCTCACTCGTCCGTGGTGACATAATACACCGCAGCAACGTACGCTCTTTCACTAGCGTCGGTGAACGTATGTAATTCCCCCCTGCTGATGTCTTCAGCAACGGGTCTAGGTACTTCTAGATAGATATAATAGACCTAATTTTTTAACTTCCGTTAACCATGTGCACCATAACACGTCCAATTCGTTCGCTTGCTGAATCAGCGACTATCCTTGCACCGTTGTGGGTGATGCGAGTCCTAATGGATCGAAAACTGACATCACAGCGCTCGTTATGTCCCTCTTCGTAGGCGGTCGTAAACTTTCGATCACTTTCGTAGGTGTATTTCGAAGATTTATGGAGAAACTTAACGTATCTCGTTTGATATTCCAAATCAAACCTAACGTGAGCTAATTGTGCTCCCTATCGCCTAGCGAAGCACTGTCGCTCTTATATTTATCTTTCATTTTACATTTATAAAACTTCGGATTGGCTACTGACCCATCCCCTTAGTTGGAAAGAAGCATGTTTATGCGATTCATTCCTATCGTCTTTATCTTTTCGGCCGTCGTCATGTAGAGAAATGCCTGTAGATAGTCATCCGTATAAAAATTGCTTTCCGTCGCGGAAGCTGCTTCGGATAGAGATGTGCGTTATCTTGCGCATTTCTATTTTTCACATAAATATGTGAAATGAAAGAGATGCGCGCTATTTAGCGGTGCACGGAGATGACGCTGCTCCAAATATAAGTGACGTCATTCTATACTCTTCTGGTGGCGCGTCACGGTTGTGATACCACAGAAATCGGAGACTTTCCCTGTCTTCCTGGCGAATTTTCACTTGCAGGAACATCTCTTTAATATCTGCCATTACTGCCACGCTTCCTTCTCTGAATCGTATTAGTGAATATTGAATACTGAATAATGACTTCAACAAGTCAGGTCCGGTCAACAATGCATTATTAAGACAGCGTCCGCCTGTCCTCTAAGTAACTTGTGAAATTTCCTTTAATCTCGATATTCAAGCGACACGAACTACTGTACACAGAACAGTTCTGTACTCGGATACCCATCGTAGCCCTACTGTACAAACACTTCAGCACTTCGATATGAACCGACCGTCAACTTGGCATCACTGAAGGGACTGCAGCACCGCCCAAATTTCGACGGAATCAAAGGCTTTCTTATAGTCCACATACGCTAAGCATAGTGGCAAATTGTACTCCTCGAACTTCTGTACAATTTGCGGAAGGGTAGTATGTGGCCTTTTCGGAAACTGGCTTGTTCGGGAGGCTGGAAGTCGTCGTCGTGGAGACGGTTCGTAATGACTTTCGAAAACAGCACGTAGAGGTGGCTTAGAAGGGAAATCGGTCTGTAGTTCTTCAAGAGAGCGTTGTCGTCTTTCTTGAAGAACAAGACCACCGTACTTTTGCTCCACGCCTCCGGTGTAGTGCCACCATGGAGGACGGAATTAAAGAGCTTCTGAAGGACTTCAAGTACCGGTTTTCCACCCACTTTCAGAAGCTCCGCTGTAATCCCATTCTCGCCTGGTGCCTTGCCGTTATGAAGGTGCTGGAGAGCCATTCTAATCTCGCTCAGACTGAGGTCCAGAATATCATCGGAATAGTGTCGGATAAGACTTGCTCTTGGATCGTTACTCACACTTGCGTGTGGCTCCAACGATGACGTGTACAGCCGCCCATAGAAACTCTCAATCTCATTCAAAATCTCAGGTGTCTCGGAAACGATGCTGCCACATTCGGTCTTCAGCTTCGACAGTTGGCACTTTGTGGCAGACAGATCTCTGGCAAAGACTTTGGAGCCCTGGTTCCGCTCGATCGCTTCTTCAATACGAGCAGTATTAAAGTTGCGTAAGTCCCGCCGCATGCATTTGGAGATCTGTCTGTTCAGTTGCCTGTATGCTGTCAAATCTACTGAAGACTGCAGCTTCATTTCCCGCCTAACAGCCGTGAGATTAAAAGTGTAATCGGAGAGTTTTTGTGTTCTTCTGCGGTGGGTCTTGCAAAACTTAGCTCCGACCGTATGGACAGTTTCCACGAGCTTGGCATTTATATCTTCCACTGCATTGCAATCTTCTAGGCACTGAAAACGGTTTTGTTAATTGAGGGGGAGGTCTATGGGCCATAGCATCCACTTACCATCAAGTGGACTGTGTGCACATTTGTCACCCTATACTAAAAAAAAAACTCAAAAGTTATATAAAACTGCGGCGGCAAAATGTCTGCCAAGCGTGGAAACTATGGCAAAATCGGGCATATGAGGCCATATGAGGTAATCTATGCGGGAGGCCTATGTTCAGCAGTGGACTTTTATAGGCTGTATTGGTAACGGTTATTTAAATTTGTGATAAAAAATGTTAAAATAATTAATTTACACATTCTTGTTTTTGTTTTTCTTTTTTATTTGATATAAAAGGAACAGTTACATCAAACGAGTAATACTTTGCTTACGCCATATTGAAGAGAGAGAGCACACAGAAAAAAAGTGTTGCCAATATAAATGTACACAATTACCAACACGCCTCCTTACATTTATATTGTAAAATATTTAGATAAAGTTTTTTCTACAGTTACTATCAATTAACAATCTTTATTTTACTCCTTTAAATTTAACATTTCTCTAAATTTAGTGAATTTAACATTTCCCAAAGCTTTTGTAAATATATCTGCAATATTTTTTTCTGACTCTATTTTTACTACTTTAATACTACCTTGCTTAACATTTTCATGTATAAAATGATAGTGAACTTCAATGTGCTTAGAGTTCTTTGTAAAGTTTCCATATTTAGAAATAGCTACAGCTACTGAATTATCTTCATAAATTTTAACTGGTTTACAAACTTTAGTGAAGACATAATTTATTAAATAAATAAGAAAATTTAATTCTGTTACTGCTTCTGATAAAGCTACATATTCAGCAAATGTTGAAGACTTTGTTACACTACTTTGTTTCTTTGATTTCCAGTAAATAATATTTCCAAACAATCTAATGACAAATCCTGTAGTTGATTTCCTATCTATAATATCTCCTGCCCAATCAGCATCCACAAAACAATCCAGAATATCAGCATTACTATTATTACAATATGTTAATTTAAGATCTTTTGTCAAATACAAATACTTTAAAACTCTTAAAGCATACTTAAAATGTTTCATTATAACAGTTTTGGAATCTGCTTAAGTAATTTACACTGTAAGATATATCAGGTCTAGTACCTGAACTAATATACAAAAGAGCACCAATCAAATTTCTATATTTTACATCCTCATTAATATCAGATTGTTCCAATTTTAAATTTATTTCCATAGGGGTTAAACTTTTTAAACAATTTTGCATTCTCAATATTATAATGTTTAGCTAAAGACTCAATATAAGATTTCTGACTCAATGTTAGGATATTATTTTGATTATACACATATTCAATCTCGATACCAATATAGTTTTTTACTTTACCCATATCCTTCATTTTAAATCTTTCAGAAAATTTAGTATTTATGTCAGCAATAACTTCTACATTTTCACAGCATATTAATAAATCATCAACAAATAAAATAATATTCATTTGTTGATGATTTAAGTTATTTGTTAAGTTGTTCTCCCTTTTAACATACAAACAATAGTCATATTTACTTCTGCGAAAACCAAAATTAGTCAAGAACTCATTAAAACATTCATACCATGCACGGGGGCTTTCTTTTAAACCATACAATGATTTATTTAATTTATAAACTTTATCAGTTCCATTTTCATAGCCGATTGGTTGCTTTACATAAACTTCAGATAAGATTCTACCATTTAGGAATGCTGTTTCAACGTCCATTTGATGAATAACTAAAGAATTTTGACAACAATAAGATAATAGTAGTTTAAGTGTCGGCATTTTAGCAATAGGAGAATAAGTATCATCAATACAATTTTTTGGTTGAAAACCTCTTACTACTAACCTTGCTTTGTATTCATTTTCGCTCTTCCTTTTATATACCCACTTCACATCAATTACCTTTTTGTCCTTAGGAGGTTTGTTAACTAGAGTCCATGTGTTATTTTTCATTAAACTGTCCATCTCACTATTCATTGCTTCTTTCCATTTCATTGCCTCATTACATGTAGTTGCCTCCTGAAAATCAGTTGGAGCTAAAGCGTCGCATTAGTTACAGTATATGCAATAATAACCGAATTCTTCATCAAAACGAAGTAGACGTTTGACTTGTCTTTTTGATTTTCTATTTTGCTTTTCATCTTTACTTTCTGCTACACTTGTTTCATCATTTTCTGAGTATTTTATTGTATCTCTTTCCTCTTGTGTCCTTTTATCTTCCTTTTCCTTTTCTTTTATTTTATATTAAGTATTATTATCTTCCTCACCTTCCAAACCACACAATTTAATATCTTCCTCTATTATATCACAATTTCTAGCAATAATAACTCTGTTGTTAATTAACACTCTGTATCCAGTATCAGTATAACCAAGTAAAATTCCAACTTCTGCTTTCTTATCCCATTTAGACCTTCTCCGTTCTTCGGGAATTCTTACAAAAACTCTACTTCCATACAATTTCAAATTTTGGACTGATGGCTTTCTTTTAAAAAATATTTCATACGGCGTTTTCCTCTCAATAGTATTAGTCAAAGTTCTGTTCTTAAGATAAGCAGCTGTTTTAATTACTTCTGGCCAAAATTTTCTTTCTACCTTTGCTTCTGATAAAAGACATCTACCCATATCCATTAATGTACGATTGTATCTCTCTGCTGTTCCATTTAATTGATGTACATATGCTGGACAGGGTTTTATTATTATTCCTTTCTCTTTTGCGAACTGAAAAACTCTTCTATTCATATATTCCTTCCCATTGTCACATCGCAGTTCCTTTATCGTTTTTCCTGTCAAGTTCTGTACCTCATTAACATATTGCACCAAGTAGTCGTATACTTCATCCTTCGATCTGATACAATAAACTTTCACTAATTTGCTGTAATCATCGATAAAGCTCAAAAAATATTTTTCTTTATTATATCCTGTAGTCTGATGTGGCCCATTTAAATCAGTATGAACAATCTCTAATATCTCCTCTGCTTTCCGTCGATTATTATGAAATGGTAAGTTATGCATTTTCTTTTCAATACATATTGCACATTTTAAATATTCATATTCAATATCTTTAGGTAATCCTTCTAATGACTCATTTTTACACATTAATTCCAAATTTTTAAAATTAATATGGCCCATAGTGCGATGTAGTTTTTCCTTTTTACTCATATTTGCTTCCAATATTTCTTCATACATGTAACTTTTCATCTTATACAGTCTCGCCTCCTTAATTGCAATTGCTTTCCATAATTGTTGTAAATTTTTGACAATTTCTCACTTGAATTGATTGAATATTTGTCAGTAATTTTGGAATAACTCAATAAATTTGCCTTCATTTCTTTTACAAAAAAAACATTTGTCAGAATCACTTCAGATTTTTGTCCATAGACCAAGAAATAAGTTTTAATATTACCAATTTTTGTAGCTTCTAATATTGTGCCGTCCCTAATTTTAACTTTAACAGGTTTATTTAATATCTCACAGGAATTGAAGTACTCATCAATATTAATAATATGGTCTGTGCATCCACTGTCTAGTAACCAATTTATTTGACCTTTCTTTGTCTTATCATTCTCACTCGTTGTGTAAGTATTATTTGCAATAGTAGTATGAAAACTGTTTCCTTGACTCTCTTGATTATTATGGTGATAATTTCCTGAGCCTCGTCCTCTGTTATTATATGAACCACGTCCTCGATAACCAGAGAAACCACCTCCTCTGTAGCCAGAGAAACTACGTCCTCTATAGTGAGAAAAACTATGTCCTCGATCACGGTTTACATTTCCTGATTTACAGTCTCTTCTCAGATGGCCAAGTTTTCCACAACTAAAACAATTATATAATGGCTTGGCATCTGCTTTAAAAGCATTTGATGTATCATTTAACGTTTCACTCACATTTTCCGTATTTTTCAATTTTATTTTACTTTTTAAATAGTCAACTGTTCTTTCACCCTCTGGCAAATCATCAATTAAATCACCTATGTAGCTGTAACTTACTGGGAGTGCTTTTAACATATAATTTAGTTTTTCTGTTTCTGATATCGTTGCACCTGCTTGTTTTAACTCATTTACAGATTTTTCAAAGTCATCGAAAAATAGAGACACTTCAGAATAATTTTTCAATTTGACACTTTTGAGGTTATGTTGACATACTATTTGCAACGCTGTTGATTTTTTCAAATACATCTCGTCGAATTTCTGTATTATTTCGTAGGCTGAATCAAAATCGCTTATATATTCCAACTGCTTGTTGGTTATTGCACTATAAATATAGTTAGTTGCTTGGACATCTCTGTCGTCCCACTCCACTTTGTCGGTTGCAATTTTCGCTCTCATTACAACATCCTTGCACTTTTTGAACTGCAGAAATTTGAGTATTCGTATTTTCCAATTACTATAGTCTATACCGTCGAAAATTGGAATATTTATATCGCTATTTTTAGTCGCCAATTTTTTCTTCCTTTTTTTATTTTTTTTTTGTTCGTTTTTAAGCCGGGTATTTTTCGAAACTTATCAACCACGTTTTTCTACCATGTTAAAATAATTAATTTACACATTCTTGTGTTTGTTTTTCTTTTTTATTTGATATAAAAGGTACAGTTCTTTTTTATTTGATATAAAAGGGAAACTTTAGCTCACTCCAACTAGCGACATCTGGTGAGAGTAAAATTATTGGCCCTTGTTGCGACGATATTGTTAAGGGTTTCACTGTTAAAAAGTCAAGGAAACAGTATTTAAGTCACTAAAGTATACCTTAAAATTTGTAACTATTTTACTTCAAATGAAAAACCAATATAAAATGAAAAACAAGGACAGCATTTGCTATAAAAACCTATAAAGATTTAAATAATTTAAAACTGGTATAAAACATTTAAATAATTGAGGGATATTTACTATAATTGAAACAGAAGCCGATAAAATATGTTACTTCTTACAAGTGGGCTATCATTATCTAGAGCTCATTGCGTACATACAAATATATTTTGTATTCTTTTCTATCTTCAAAAAATAAAGAATTTGGTGACCATCAATTATTTAGTTTGAGACTATTTCCGTTATGGGTTCTATCTCAAAAATCATTTCTTTCTATAGAATAAGGGTGACAAAGGAGCACAACAAAACAAACGAAGAGCGATATGATGCAGGACCAATGACGTGAGCGATCAGGTGCAGGAAAAACGTTTACGTGCTTATAAAATTTTATGACATACACCCCACTAGCTGATTTTGACCCGAGCTGGAATTCGAACCCGGACTCACATAATCGGCAGTTACACTTGTGACCACTGGACCAACGAGGTAGTCTGTTTTTAATATGGTTGACCCTACAAGCCATCCCTGGAATTTCTCGAGCAAAGTGCTCTATCGAGCTCAAGAACGTCAAACACACACACACACACACACACACACACACACGCACACACGCACACACACGCATACGTGTTTCGACTTCCCGATTTTTTGAAAATCATTGATTTTCATAGCGAGAACTTAAAAATAAATCATGACAACATCTACGTATTCATAATTTAGTTTATCTAATTATAAGAAAGTTATAAATTATTGCTCATAATATGTACTGAACTCTGATAGACCGTGGCCAAACTCGCAATTGGCCGTTTTTCAAATTGTTTAACGAAATTCACATCGTTCAAGATAATATTTACGTAATTGGAAAATTCACGATGGCGAGGCGCGTATTTTGTCTTGGTACTCGAAGCTATCACACTTTTATCTATTTACCTGCTAAAACTAAATAGTAGCATGCATGCATTTCTTACGTGGTAGAGCCATGCTGCAGCTATATAAATAGTATAGTTGTAGCACGAATGGGTCGCATCGACCGAGGAAGTACCACGCTCTCACAGAATACCAGCGTAAAATAGCAACTTATTGCTACTGTGTTTCGTATGGTGAGTGTAGAAAACCGGAGACCCTTCTTACTGGAAAAGTGTCTCTTTTCCAGTAAGAAGGGTTAGAGTGTCCTCTATCTTAGTCCTTATGGATGACAACGCATCTGCATTTTAATTCGCAAACGAAGATAGATGTAAATGTCTATGGGCCACAGCAACCACTTACCATCAGGTGGACTGTGTGCTCGTTTGTCACCCTAATACTATAAAAAAAATGCTACCGTGTTCCGATCTGAAGGATACAGAGAGCCAATTTTGTTTGGTAGAGCCACGCTGCAGCTATATTATGGTTGTAGCACGAATGGGTCGGCTCGACCGGGGAAGGATCACGCTCTCACAGAATACCAGCGTAAAACGAGCAGCTTAATGCTGCTGTGTTTCGTATGATGATTTCCAGTTCCAGTAAAAAGGCTCTCCGGTACTCTACACTCACCATACGAAACAGCAGCATTAAGGTGACACTAGTCGACAATATTTCCATACAAATTTCGGAGGGGTTTTACTACGCTGTTTGACAGTGTACATCCAAAGTTAAACATGATATCGTTTTGTCTCATTATTAAATTTGTCTGTACGGAAACAGAATAGTAAAATAAAATGTTATTAAAAAGTTACGGGCTACCAAATATTCGTTTTTATTGCCAATTTTAACACAACTTTGGGCGTAAATTAGTAATAAAAGAAGTGTAAAATTTCCAAAACAAAGTCGGTACCGACACAGCTCAATTATCGAAGAATTCAATAAATTTTATTCGTAATTGCAGTGGTTTTTTCATAAAACCCCTTCTTCCAAAGGCCTTTTCGTATTTTTTTACGCGCGTATGTTACTATGAATTATCGTGCATCTCACTGAATAATGTTTCCCCCGGTGCGGTGCGGGAGGACGACGCTTACACACACATGCACGGGCAGTGACGCGCGCTTATTCGAGTTTTATTCGAAACGAAAAGTTTTGCTATTTTGTAATTTGGACGCCAAAGACAAAAGACAGCATGGAAATTGATATAATTGAAAGAGATGATGCGTTTTGGACAACAGACAATATTGTAAAATTTTCGTCTGTAATATAATATAATTATAAAAGTAAAAAAAGTAAAGTCTATATACGATTACTATATAAAATTGCAACAATTTCATTGGTGCCGACGGGGATCGAACCCGGGTTGCTCGCGTAATGTGATACTTACGGCGAGCGCTAACCATCTGAGCTACCACGGCTCTCAGTGCAAGTGTTATAAATAAATAAAGAATTACAAAACAGTTTAATTATTTATTAGACGACTCTTACGGCGGACAAACAAGGTATATTATGTGGGATTTTCATAGGTACCTACTGTTATTACCTAGATACCTACAACCTACAATACAACAAAATGTCACAAAACGTCACCGCGTCGTGGCCACAAAATTGTAAACTTTAGGTAGGTACGTCAGTACTAAGAAAACAATCTTGGTGGGTCACTTGTCTTGATAAAAACCTGTGTTTACGTTTAGTGATATTGAGTATATATAAAAAAGTAAGAATACAGGTAAGTATTTTTGAAAACAATTTATAGGTAGGCAGAACTAATTACAATTATTATCTAAATATTATAAATGCGAAAGTTTGGATATTTGGATGGACGGATGAGTGGATGTATGTTACTCAATCACACCAGAACCGCTGAAGGGACCTGGATGATATTTTGCTCAGAGATAGGTTATAGTCTGGAATTTTATTTTTTAAAAAAACGTTACCCCCACACTAAGATTTTCTCCTGTATCGTGGAGGCAGTTTACAAACATCCAGACCCGGAACAACTATTTGCAGGCCATACAAATACTTGTTCCGTGCGGGATTCGAACCCGCGGCTCCCAGTGCAACAATTCATTGCTAAGCAACTGCGCCACGGAGCTGTAAATAACATATATGATACCGTTTATTCAGGTATTTCGTTCCCGTTGGATAATTTTTGCAGTTACACACGTTCGAAGCTGAACTCTTGAGTGATCGCTGCATGACCACTCGGGAAAAACTAAACATAATAAAGTAAGCAATCTATATTAGGTATATAGAGCCACAGAGGTATAATATGAAGCGATAAAGCAGCGCCTAATAATTTCGCGGTTTAACCCGCGTCATCACGTGTCCGAGATGCGTGGCATGACATGACACCTAGTTCAAGCATTTTATAATTGCAATCAAATATTTTATTTGATAATAATGTATGGAAAAATTGTCATGATTAATGGAGTACTTTTATTTTATCTGTCGGCATACTATGCGCGGTTTTATCCAGTTTTAAAGAAAAACGTACACGATACATGAAAGTGTGTAGGCAAAAAATGATTCTTGATAAATTTGCTATCAACCTCTTATACTTATTAATCAATTAAACTTTCAAAATACTATAGCAACGTGAAATGAAAGAGTTCAGAAATAAAGATGTAACTAATCATTGTTACGCTCACCTGGGAGATAGATAAAAGCACTCAGTTAATTTTGAATTTATTTTAGCTACCAGCTGTTCCCTGCGACTTCGTCCGCATTTAGTTTAGGGTGTTAATTTTGTTGCACGGACACCTAATAATTTTTCTAAAATTTAAGCAGTCTAAGTTACTTCTTATAACATGAGCTATCTACTAGTGAAAGTCCCGTCAAAATCGGTCCAGCCGTTTTGGAAATTAACCGGAACAAACAGACTGACAGACATACAAAAATGTTAAAAATTGTGGTTATAAGTAGCGTATATAATTTCATATGCAATTAGTAAAAAGCTGTTATTTTGACATTACAAACAGACACTTCAATTTTATTTATTTGTGTAGATATTAGGTAATGATTGAACTAACGGCTAACCTAACCTCGCTCATAGAAGCTTTCAATACTGGCTTCTCAGTTCGCACCGGGCTAGGGGTTATGCGTTGTTTGCGCGTCAAGGCCAAGTATTGAATTATTTTAATTTTACATTATCTCTTAAACTATGTACTATATAAATGTGCCGGACGGGCGTAACTCTCCGGAGTAAATGTTGTCGAAGATACTCCGCGAGCCGCTCACGTCCTACACCTATAGGTTCCGGTGGATACTTTCACTACCGCCTTTGTGTATGCTGTTGGAGAACTGTGGACTGAGGTTCAGAATTAAAAATGCACGATTTATAAATTAAAATAGCAAGGGAGTGGCCAGCGGTTCGACTGATTAATTAGTTGCGAAATATTATAACTTATTTATTTATTTAACACTGTTTTTTAACTATGATTGTTCACTATATATTTTAAAACACAGATTTAATTAAACACACAGTAATATTAAAATTTCTATTGGTTTTTTAAAATTTCTATTCGTATTTTCAAAATATCTGTTGGTAATATCAAATTTCTATTGGCAGTAACGAGTTTCTATTGGTATTCTCTACTATTTCTATTGGTAATTTTAAATAT